AAAAAAATTAGCCTGGCATGGTGGTGTGTGTCTGTCGTCCCAGGTACCCGGCAGGCTGAGGTGCGAGGATGGTTTGAGTCCAGGAAGTTGAGGCTGCAGTGAGCCATGATCCAACTGCTACACCCCAGCCTGGGCAACTGGAGTGAGAATCTATCTCTAAATAAATAAATAAATAAATAAATAAGGGAAGTTTAAAAAAAATAATGTATCTGGATAAAGAATATTCATGAGTTCCCTGAATTATTATTGCAATTTTTCTGTAAAGTTGAAAATATTTTTTAAAAAGTATTTATTTTTAAAAAGAGAGCAGCTCCATGTTGTTTCTTGAGGCACCCAACACCTCTGTGACTTACCTACATACCTAAGAAGCTGCAGAGATTCTTGTGTCCTCTCGTTCCCCAAGTTCTTCCCTCCCAGGGTTTCCTTCTTCCTGAGCAGTGCCCTGGCTGCTAGTCTTCCTGAGCAGTGCCCTGGCTGCTAGTCTGAAGAAAAGTGGTTATCTTCGGTGGTCCACCTGCTCTTAAACACATACTTACTTCCTAAACCCACCCCCTTTTTCACTTCCTCCGCCTAGCACTGATCAAACACACTCAGCCAATTGTTTCTGTTCTCATAAACACTTTGAAGTGAGGCTATCTGGGCACTGAGACAGATCCAGACATCCAAGACAGGAAATATCTCCAGCCTGGGAAATTGCAGACAGTTTTGTTTCATGGATCAATTGTTCTGCTCCTAAGTTACACCCACTATCCTGTGGTTTATGCAGCCTGATCTTGTGCATGAATTTCAAGTTTAGTCTTTTCTTGTATTTGCTACATGTACACAGGTACTTCCTTTAATTCTCTCCTATAATTTCTGCAGTGTCAAGATCTTTGGCCTTTATTTGGCCATCTCTCCAACATAATTATTTTGCTTTTCACACTTTACAAGTGTATTATGACAAGATTTAGAGTATTTGAGTCAATCATGAGTTTTCACATATCTTTACCTATACCTTTATCCAGTTGTTCACTCTCTACTCCCTCTTTCCATTCCCCCAGCCAATAATCACATTCCCATAAGAATATCCAGATTTTGCAAATCTGATCATTTAGCCCTAGATAGGAGACTATCCAAAGCAGCACTATCCTTATCAGTCCCTATAGTCTGGGTGAATAAAACCAGGAGGGTTACAACGTTGATCCTAAGGTTCACTTCTTTAGCAAAAATTGACATTATGAGATAATATTTTAAAAATCACCCTGGAGACACTTTCCTCTTCTCCCCCGACCGGAGGAGCCGCTCTTTCCGCGCGGTGCATTCTGGGGACCGAGGTCGAGCTCGCCGCTGCCGCCGTTGCCTGAGGGAAGCGAGAAGAGGCCGCGACCGGGGAGAAAACGCGGAGTCGCCGCTGGAGAGAAGTGGACTCCCTAGCAGCAGCCGCCGCCAGAGAGGCCCGCCCACCCGTTCGTCCGTCACCCTGCCCCGTTCACAGTGCAGCCTGCTTCTGCAAAGTGGTACGATCGAAGGGACTATGTCTTCATTGAATTTTGTGTTGAAGACAGTAAGGATGTTAATGTAAATTTTGAAAAATCCAAACTTACATTCAGGTGTCTCGGAGGAAGTGATAATTTTAAGCATTTAAATGGAATTGATTTTTTTCACTGTGTTGATCCAAATGATTCCAAGCGTGAAAGAACGGACAGATCAATTTTTTGTTGTTTACAAAAAGGAGAATCTGGCCAGTCATGGCCAAGGTTAACAAAATAAAGGGCAAAGCTTAATTGGCTTAGTGTCAACTTCAATAATTGGGAAGACTGGGAAGATGATTCAGATGAAGACATGTCTAATTTTGATCGTTTCTCTGAAATGATGAACAACATGGGTGGTGATGAGGATGTAGATTTACCAGATGTAGATGGAGCAGATGATGATTCACAAGACAGTGATGATGAAAAAATGCCAGATCTGGAGTAAGGAATATTGTCATCACTTGGATTTTGAGAAAGAAAATAACTTCTTTGCAAGATTTCCTAATTGAGAGAATTCCTGAGTTGATAGCTCTAAAGGCAGATGTTGTATTTGCCTACTTTAACCCATTTTTCAACCTGTTTGTTTTTTAAAAGGCTTCACTAAGGGTTGATATGTACCATTGTATGGGGCAATTTTAAG